CATCCGATCAATAGCTTGGTCCAGTTAAGAATGTACGAGACAGAGATGGCAACAGTGCAGCATTTACTTTACAAGAAACTATGTGGATCTTTTTGCAAGAAGGGAAATAGACCACAGCATCTCAGCACCGGCTACCAATTGGCGTCCAATTAAGGGACAGCTTTGAGAGCCCAGCTGCCAAACCAACATTTACCACGCTGCACCTTGTAAGTGTCACAATTGCTTCTGAGGAGTGAAACATCTTGCCGCCTTTCCCAATTGACTCTGAAAATCAGGATCCTGAAGCATCCCATATATTCATTGCCTTTTCGTTCTCTCCCTAGCCTCTTAATCAAACTGATTGAGCTTGCCGACGGGGCAGTCACTTCCTTGGTTAAGGCGAAGTCTCAGGGCCTTGAACGTGAAGCCGGATGTGGTTGTGGTGGATGCGCCGGGGCAGTCCGATACGCGAGGCGATGACATTGAAATTGCCACCTCTGCGGCATGTAGCCAGATTGCGGAAAATTGCAGGACTCCTGGTGTTGATTTCGGATGGCAGTCTTGTGAGTTTTGTTTGCCAACTTGTAGAAAACATCTATTTGCAGTGGGACTGGGGCATGTTCCTGATCGGCCTTTGTCCAGCCCTGACCTCTTGAAAGGAGTGGATTTTTGAAGGAGTTTTAGGGGACCGTCTTTTTTCTTGCTGACAATCATGATTCTCTCAGCGATTTGAAGCTGTGACTGTGAGAAGTGTAGCTCTAGAATTCTTGCTTGCAAATCTCCTGGTCTCGAGAAAATCAAGCAAGGGTAAATCGTTGAACTTATTGCCAGAAGCCCCAAAAAGTGTAACGAAGCACGTATGCAGTCAAGAAGCAGTGAAGTGGCACCAGTCCGGAACGGCCTTTTGACTGTTCGATTCTACTCCTTTATAGCAGGCTTGAGTGTAGCAGCATGCGGCGGCTCCTACCTGATAGGTTTGGCATCTGAACAAATCATCAGAAGGTCCTTAAGTGTTCAAGCCGAGCTTGATGGAGAAGGAAGAGCATGAGCGGCCTAATCCTTGCACAACCTTCTATCTACGTAAGCCGCGGATAATGTGGTACTTGCGTTCGAAGCAAAGTTACCTTATCACAACCTTCCATGCATTAGTCTCCACTTCCACCCGTAGCAAAGCGAAGCTGTTTCTCGCCGTCGGGTTGGCAGAGGGTCGCTAGTTGCGTACCGGGCTAGGGTTGGCAATCCATGCGCCTACTATGGTAAAGTCAAGAGCAAAGTCTACTTCACTGCTTCGTTCTTCTCCGCTTGGGCTTTGCCTCTAACACCTTTGTCAACCGATGCCATCGTTGAAGTGCTGTGTTGCCACCATGTGGTTTCTGAGGAGGCCACAGGTATGTGAAAAGCATTGAAAAGGATACTTCAGGTTGTCCTGAAGCAATCACTATTTCAACATTGCTGTGTTAAAGATCAAGTGACTGCAAGTTTATCTTTTCAACACAATTTCGACACGTCTCCGTGATGAGAGGTCTTTTGTTTGTAGTTGTGGCTGACTCTTGTTTACCTGGCCGCAGGATGCTCCGTTTTGTGGTGCTGATCAATTGTGCCACACTACTTTCGGACCGAGCTCAGGGATTGCGGCGGATCGCAGAACTGGTGGCCAATGTCATGCCAGACTTTGGAATTCGCAGGTTGGGACGAAGAGAGTTGGGACAAAGCACTCTACATGCCACACTGGATTTGCTAAGTTTTGCTGAAGGGACCATCCTTATGCAGCAAATTTCTTCTTCACGCACGTGGAGGCAGGCATAAAAAATGGCAGTTGCATCAAAGGCTAAGGTGATACGTGATCCGGAAAACGTTGAAAAACTGTTTGTTTTCTTGAACAGCGCCGCCTTAAAACCAATGAGTTTGCCGAGGTCCTTAACCTTCAGGAGAAGCTGGACCCCGAATCTGCGCGCCATCAAGTGTATGTATGGCTTCGCGAGGTCTTGGGTGGAAGCGAACTTGATGCTGAGTCTTAGCTGTTAGATCTACCAGCATGGCATGTTGATGGATGTGCATGCAAACCCATTGGCCAAGGACAGCTATGCACCTCTCAATTTTATGCTCAAATCTATGGAGCTTGATCAGGAGGGGAAGATGCCCAGGCAAGGACTTTTCCTCGAAGCTTCTTTTTAACGGGCTGGAGTTTTTTGTCCTGGCAGCCTTCGGCCGCAGGCTTGTCGACGTGTACAATCCAGCCTGGACGACTCAAGAGTCGTTGTGCACGGCAGTAATGCGATTTGGCCCAGACTTTGCGCTCGGTCGATGCCTAAGTTGCTGAAAAAGATTTGGTAAAAGGAGCTTGCTTCGAAGGATTGGGCCAGCAAACCTTTCATTACCAGATCTCGTCCATGGATTTCGTAACTGCACAATGCCAAAATCACACATCATTTATCGTAGTCCAAGTGCTTCAGGTCAACACGGGGACAGCACGAGAGCGAGTTCAATCGGTGCTTTACTATTGCCTGCAAGCAAGGCACCTGAGCACCAGCGTTAAATTGAGGGTGGCTGATTAGCAATCATTGCAGGGCGCGCCAGCGCACCAGGATAGTTCAACATCTCTGAGCACTGAGGGGCTTTCACGCATTAGAGAGGTGTGTGTAAACCTTGGATGTGGCTAGTGTGTCAACGTTACATCAATCTGTCAATAAGGCACTGATGCACTTAGCTTTGACAGAGCCTTTTTGAGCAACTCGTTGTTGTCAGTTAATTATGGTATTTGCCATCGCATTATGTTGGTGCTTGGAACATATGGACCGCATCGTCCAAAGCATCTTGATTACATTTCACTAGAGCCTGTGCGAGTGGAACAACCTTGGAAAGAGTTCCAAGTTTTGGCCGGCAGAGTTTGAGATCTTCGAGGAGTATATAGGTCTATCTGCCCAAGAAGCCTGCGTAAACGGGCACGCAGCGGCGTGATTGCCTACGTTGCCGTCATTTGTGCGTGCACACGCTGGGATCAGCCCCCGTTTCCGCAAAGACTGCCCAATCAGTCATAGCAGGGCAGCGTTCATGGTGAGCGCCGCGCATCGTCAATCGGGACCAGAGCCAGGGTAATTGCTCCTGGGACCTTTGAAAGAGGTTGACTTGGGCCCAGACGTTGTTTGATCTTTAGGTTTGTCCCGCATTCCCGGTCTCTGAAAGCCTACCCTGTAGGTTTCCCTCGCATAACATTCAGCAGGAGACTCGGTGTTTGTCGCAGCTGGCATCAGAATTCCTCAGTTGCAAAGACTCAAGCAATTCGTCACTATGCTTCTCGCCGCCAGCACCGGCCTTGCCTGAGGGCAATTCCAAACTTCCCTTCCTCTTGCCCAGCTTTGCCGCCAGCATGGGCATAAGTCATGTGGTGCGCCCTGTCCATGCCCAACTGCGCTGACGTCACACTCTCTTTTGGCAATTCAACACTCCAGTAAAGCCAACCTCTCAACACGGGGTTGCACCCTAACCGACTGGCAAAGGCCAGGATGGTTGGATGAAGCTACTTTCAGGGAGTTGGAGAGCTGCGTGAGCAGGTTGCAATGGGCAACATAAGCCGGCCTGCTGAAGCACCTAATCAAGTCCAATGAACCTCTGTGAAACTCAACCACTTTTCTTCAGACCGCTTCCTAATACGTGGGGGCCAGTAATCTCACATGTGGGCTGACAAGAACATGAAAACGGCCTGAGGAGTTGGGCTCAAGGGTAAACGTCGCAGAGAGGGGCTTTCTATGTAATTACTTGCGACGCTTGTGCCTGCCTTTAGAGCGCCAGTATCCAATCTCTAGTTGGAGTCAATTCCCGTTCTCTCTTCCACATTGGTGGCTGTTGGGAAAGGTGGATCTCATCCTGTGCTTGCCACGTGGTGGCTGAAACAAACAGATGCAAACAGAGATGTAACCAACGCGTGGAACAAACCGAACCTGCCACCATTGCTGCTGCTGCTGCTGCTGCTGTGGTTTTATCTCAACCCCCTGACCTTGGATGGATGTAGGCCAAGCTGGGCTGTCCTGGGTTGCATTGCAGGCTAAAATAGAGCGCATGCTGCTGACCAGTCGGGAGGAAGTTCGGGTCAAGTTGCAGCAAGCCAATCCTGAAGACGTTCCACATTTGAGTACCTTGGCAGCTACATGTTGCAAGTCTGACAAAGTTTACTATATACATGCGAAAAGTTGCAAATCTGCAAGCGCTCTTTTGTAGCACATGCTACTTTTCTGATTTGGACAGCATTTTGCCCTTGTGGTGCCACTGTGCAGATTGCCAGGTATTTTGCGGCACAACCTTGAGCTCGTGAAGGAATACCTGATGAGCCTGCCAAAGGTGGCGGCTGCAATAGATGAGATTGCCAACCTGTTCTTGTGTAGGTTTCAAGATCTACAGTGGCTTGATGTTCAAAGGTAGACTTGTGACATTGAGGCGTGGATCCACCGATCCAGAACTCTTTGTGCGCCTGACACTTCTAGAGTATTTCTCTAAAGTTGTTGTAAGCTTGTGTAGGTTTCACAAACCCAACCATGGAGTAAGGAGATTGGATATCCTAAAGGTTCGAAGAATGCGGGATGTCCACTTCCAACACAAAAACAACCGCAGTTGGCAGTCGTGCTACATTTGGATGATTGCTTGAGGCTAGACGCTTTCAACTTAATCTCGAAAATCCACGGTGATGAAGATTTTGGTGAAATGGATGCCAAGCAGTTGTGGCATCTCATTTGCGATTTATGTTTTTGTCGAACTACGCTGCAGGTCTGGATTCTGTTTGATTTTAGCCATGAGAACCTTGCAGTCTTTGGGGTTCATTCCATTGCTCTTTTGCCCGGCTTTTCCTCTGATCTTTGCAGAGTTTGAAGACCTCCTTGAGGTTGAGTAGATAAAGGTTGTCGCGTCTGCGCCTTTGGGTTGTGGTGTGCATTTCATACCATACCTCATACGCCCACATTATCATCAGTTTGAGGAGCACCATTGGCTTTTTGGAAGGCATTGCTTCTTTGGGGCCGGGCAATGATGCAATGCCAAAGTGTGAAGTTGGCCACTTCCAGAACAGGCTGGAGAGTTACCTGGTGATTTCTTCAGAGCTTTCTGTGCTGCCTGAATCGTCAGTTGAAAAGAGCTACGATGTTTACATGCCTTTCAAAGTGGAGCTTTCTCTGAGCTGTTTAGTGTGTACACTACTTACTTGTGCTGTGTCGGGTTGTGTGTTTGAGACGCTTTCAAACGCAGCTTTGCCATCACTCAAGGTTCCTTGAAGATGTGCCTTGACAACGTGAAAAGGGCCTGCGATGGAGCTGATATTGAAAGTCTGCCGCGAACCCATCAATTCATCCGATGGCAATCCAAGATCCGTGCTTGGAGTAGCATCAAGCCCGACTTGTCTCAGCAAATGGATTCTTTTCTGCAAGGATACATCGACCAGGCTGGGACAGCAACAGTATCCATCTTGTTGATCAGGGATATTTCCAGAATAAAGCAACAGTTCCTCCTTCATTGATGTTGTTTGGCTTGGGTGTGGGGTGGAACGTTTGGCCGTGGCCAGAGGCCATTGGGGGTGCATCAAAGCATCCTGACGAGCTTCATGCTCATGTACTTCTGGTGGCGAGGCTGGAGAACATAAGCGATATTGCAACACAAATGCCTGGCTTTGGTGATGCTGCCAAGATAGACGGGGCATTGAAGGATGCGGAAGAATGCTTGGAGAAGCACTTTGAACACATCTTCGAGAGCGCTTCTCAAGCGGCTAACGCATCGGTCAGAGCAGTCTTGGAGTCTCCTGAGTCAGACTCTGTGGACTTTGTAGTGCTAAAGACAGTAGGGAAGGAGCTAAAAGAGAGCAGATCAGCATGGGAGAGTGGCCTTGAAGCAGCTTCAAAGACACATGCTCGCGTTGTCAAGTGGTACGAACGCCTACAAGGAGCGGCGACTGGCTGGCTTGACTCCTTGCAGGAGTGCAACAAGGAGATGCTTGACACGGTCGGTGTGATCGCTGCAGGTGGCAACAAGTCTGACACTTGTCTAATACTGTCGGTTTTCTCTTGAATATAGGACATTGAATCTGACATGCTGCTGCAAAACAGAGACGAGGTCTTTCAGGTAGTTTGTGCTCCAGGGCCGACCAAAACCTAGCCGCTTCACAAGAGATATACAGTATTTATAAATTTTTCAGGATGTGGATCTTGCCACTGGTGCCTGTTGCAAGAACCTCTATTACACCATGTCCGAGCTCGTAGATTCCTTGCCAGATGTTGACAGACAAAATTGCATGAAGAGCACGTGTGATGTCGTGCCTCGGCCGGTGTGTTGTTGAGGTCGTATCATGTGCAATAAGGACTTGCTGTCAAACCTCCGTCAAACATTTAGCATGTTTCTTCAATATTCCGAAATAGCGTGCCACAAATGAGACAAGCCAGCCACAGAACCCGCAGTTGAACTGGAGGTGCTGCTCGACACCTTGAACTGTTTTAACGGAGTGAGCTCTGCCGCCTTGACCTTGTCTACACAAGTTGTGCGGCTCTCGGATGGTCAGCAACTTGCTCACGTTTCCAGATTTCGACGTTGGAACCCAGATTGGCAAACCCAACATCATGAGAATTCTGGAATGTTCCAGCTTATTCTTAGGACATTTACAGTATTACCCGTTCTCCATCAAATTTGTTGTCGATTCACTTGACTCGAGCTGTGGTGCCATGTTGCTCAAACTCGTGGGTGGTAGGTGCATTCTTCCTGTAATTTCCCACATACTCCGCATTGCTTAGGTCAATGGCTCTGCCACCCAGAGCATACTTCAGAGCCTGCGAGTGCCTTTCGGCTGTGCTTGATAGACCACATGATTGGCAAATGTTCCAGCCTTCAAAAGCTACATTTGTCCGTGAATGAAGGGGACAATAAACAGCCATGTTGAAACATATTTGCTTGCTTCTATCTCCCTTCAAGTATATGTTTGGGTCCTAGGCTCATTGAAGTACTTCAAGGCTTTGCCTGGATGGACATCGCCAAGGATGCGGATGCTCCAAATAGTACGTTGGACAAACTCCAGTTTCTTGACCTATTGGAAATGCAATTTTTCATCCCCTTCTAGCAATAGAGACTTATGGCCCGACTTTGAAAGCAGATTTCTCTCTGAAAGCAAACTGCAGAATGTGGCTGTGTGGCCTAATTTCAAGTTCTGCGCTGAGCAAAGTCTTCAGAAAAAGCCCAATGTCCACGGCGGCTTGATCTCAGGAAGCAGGTCCAGGAGTATTCCGACGAACTGTACCGTAGCCTCTGCACTTTGCTACGTACTTTCCTGGAAACCTCTCCGGTGAAGCGATCCCTTTCGAGCCTTGGCCGGTTTCAGGCTCTCGTAGCACGCATGCTAGGCAGTGCAAATCTTCGCTCAGGAAGTTTCTACGTGCCTGGAAGGAGTTTCAAGGGCTGAGCGAATTAATTCCGGTGTTCCAGTTCCTGGAGGATGAACAGGTAAGCACCAAATTAGACCCTTGGCACATTACTGCCGCGCTTTTGCTGCCTTGTGCGCAATTGTACAGTATTTTTCTCTTCGTCTGGCTATGCCACTTTGGCCTTTGAGAGTTGAGGAGATCAGACAAGTGTCAGAAACATGGATCTCTGGCCAGGGCCTAAGATCATGCCCAGCCTGTCCATTTGATTGGATCTTGCACTGTTCCTTGACCAAGGCTTCCGTGCCTCCGTGGCTTCTGAACCCTCACTGCACGATCTCGACTCCTTTCCGGCAGAAGATGTCAACAATATCCTTCACGCCCATGACCAGCTACGGCCTCTTTTGACTGGTATACTTCCTGCTGGCTGGAATCAAGCAGTTGAGCGTACCTTGGATGAATCTGTCAGTTGCCATGAAACTTGAACTTGGGAATGCTTCGTCGAATCAAACAGCTGGTCGAGTAGGACGGTGTGAGTCTCAGCCAAGGGTAACAACTGTGAAGTCCATTCAACTTTGACGTGACACTCAGCTTGCTTGTGTGCCCTTTGTTCAGGGATGTAACCCGCAATAGTTCGTAGTTTCACCAGGTGTTCAGAAAAGCGCTGATGACATCAAGATGCTTGTCTTCTCCTGCGTGGATGCTCCTGGCAACTACAAGGATCTTCAGCTGAGAGAGCTCTTCTTGTTTTTGTCCCAAGATGTTGCCCCAAACCACAAAAAGCAACGCCGCTTTACCAACTGCCAGGTCCCAGCTCCTTGCCCCAGTTCCTGCCATTCGTAGAAGACTGTAGGGCCTGCGTGCCTACCTTACGCCATTTGTCACTGCTTGTGTGCAAGCCTGTGATAGATTAACGGACCATTGGTCTTGCCAAGTCTACTGCACAGTGGCTACCGAACATTTTGAAAGTGTTCTAGGCAAGGGTATGGCTGTTCTACCGCTGTTTGATATCATTACTTTGCCATGCTGGGGGCCTTCCTGCTATGCCACAGTGCGTCGCCAGCCTTTGCTGCAATGCTCTCAATTGCGCTCTGCCATGTGCGCTGTAAGTCTGAAGGGATGTAACAAATCACGGCGCTTTAATTTTGTGCCTTTGTGGCAAAATACAAAGCCTCAGATTGCTGTTGCCAGATTAAGAGTGTGTAGGTATTGTTAGTTCGAGTGTTGGAAACTATCAGGTCCTTCCAACACTCTCCTTTCTCCGTCCTTAGTCTTGGGGTATCATGAGATTTTTGCAGCAACCAACGGGCCGAAGGAGAAGGATTTTGTGCTGTGCACCCTGGAGAAGTGGCGAGGATTAATGCTCCTGAGTTTGTTGAAGATGTTTGGTCCAGAGGAGCAGGTTCACGAGCAGGTGAAGAGAGAGGTCCTTGATGACTTGGGGAAAGTGCGCGACATGATTGGGAACCCGACGGAGAGACAAAGCGCGGCCGACACTCTTGTCAAGCTGGCACTCTTAGAGTTGAAGAGTTCAGCTTTCAATGAAGCTCAAAGACTATGGCAGCAATATCAATGCTTGCTGACCACGAGAAACTTCGAAGATGACCAGACAATCCAGTTGCAACTTGAAGACTTTGATTTCACAGGCCTCAAGGATCTCTTGGGAGAAAGACCGGAAAAGGAGAGCGCGGAAAGTACATTGAGCAAAACCTTCCATTTACGTCTTGGGCGAATTGAGTCGACTGTGCGGGAGCGCTTATCTTTGGCAAAGCGTTCTGTCCATGAGCCTGAGATCTTCGCCAGAGAGTTTCGAAAGCTGAAAGCAGCAGATGCAGAGCTTGGAGACTACTTGAAGCTCTACAAGGACATTCAGGGTAAGCGTCCCGTGTTCGACTTGTGTGTTAGGACTCGGGTTGGCATTGCTCTTCTTACTCTTGCATTTTCCAACTGGAAGATACAACAGCACCTGTAGGAAATGGACCTTCGAGCAGAGGTTGAAAAGGTTGGCGTGCATGGTGCAGAACATTTCCAGCTACTGTTGGTGAAGATCAAGGCTCGGAAGCGTTGAGCAAAGAGCTAAGCCACGCGATGGTTGATTGACCTGGCTGCTTCCGTTTCCTCCTCCTCTTCCTCCTCCTCCTCCCGCTTGGTCCTTCCGTTCGATTTGAGGATTTGAGTTTAGGACATGCAAGTTTTGATACTGTATTCACTTTGCAAAATTGTCTTTGACATGTTCCACTGTGACTGGAAGCAGCGATCAACTTGCACCGCTCATACACCCAGTTAGTATGTGAGGGGAAAAACGATACGGCGCCGCGCCACGCAATGCAGGGTCATGAACGGTTTATTGACGTGTGGGTATGGGTGTAACGGAGTATTCTGCCCTTCGCTGACGTGAAGGTGTTTGAGGTAACGATGTATCGCCGCAGTGGCATCTCCGCACGTGTCTGCTTCCCAGTGATGACACGGATGAGTAGCGTCTCGGCGCATCGGCGTAGAACGATTTGCAAACGCGGTTGTTGCCATACACACTGAATGTCAATGTTCAGGCTGAGCTAGAGGAGAAGAACTACGATGCATGCTTGAACCATGCAGATGAGCTTCAATGCTTGGTTTCCAAGTGGGAAGGCGTCGACATTTTGACAAGAACTCAGCTTTCTGAAGCGGAAGTTGCGCTGAAAAAGGCCGGGTTTACACCGCGGTCTATATGATTTTCAAAAGCAAGGTCGGCTTTAGTCCCTTCATGTTGCATTTGCATCTTTTCATGGTACAACAACTTCTTGCATTAGCACTAGTTGCTTTCGGTTCCTGTGGCCGGCATTTTGTTTGTGCTAGCTTTGCAAAGGAGCCCCTAGTAGCGTCCTTGCTCCTAGTAGCGAGGCCAGGAGCCCCTAGTAGCTTCTTGTTTGTGCTAGTGCAAGTGCAATTCCTGAAACTTGACTGTGACCACACCTTGTGCACAAGCGCAAGGCCAAAAACTGCTTGGAACTTGTCAAGCCACTTGCGACAAACTTTTTGGAGATCGTGAAGCATATCGAAACTCGGTGTGTGAGTGTGTGGCGTGTGTGGCAGACTTGACCAACACTGCTCTTCCGAGCGCGTTTTCATTATGTGGTTATTCAGACACTGTTGCATGTGATAAAACCCTATTCCAACGCACGATGTTTGCTGCTTTGGATTGGTCTTCTGGAGTCTTCTGGTGGATGTTCGCAAAAACCACTCCTGATTCGGGTAGAGGTGCTTTACCGCCATGCTCGCTTATTCCAGAACTGGATTGGATATAAATAACTTTGCAACTCACCCCAAAAAGGGATGTATCCAGATCAAGTTCCCAACTGCTGGTGAGCAGATGGCAATACTGCGGACTTTTCTGCATCAAACAGGACTCCAAAGTCTCGTGCTGTACACGTGTGATCTCAAGTGAAACATATTAGCTGTTAGCACTCCTCCTCATCATGTTGAGCGCTCTCTCATTGTTTCAGCTCAGCATGATGATTCGTGATCCGGTTGGTACATTCTTTAGCATTGCTTAGTATTGCACCTTTCCAGATGCACTCTGGTGGCTTCATGTTTACGTCCTTCTGCCACCAGCCTCTGTTCTTGGTTCTCCAATTTCTCAATCTTCTCTGGCAACCTTCCATACAAGATCACATTGTGCTCTCCCACCTCTTCAACTCTTCCAAACTCCTTGTGTCTTCAGGATCTTCTGTCCTCTTCCTGCTGCTCCTCAGTGTTCTTGATGCCGGTCCGCTTGAAGGTACAGCACCCTGAGTTGCTGCAAGTAGCAGTGTGTCATGTCCACTGTAGCTCCCACTTGTTGTTTGAAGGTCTTCTAAGCTTTGTCTTGACAGGTAATTTGCTGCATGGGCTTCATTGATCACCCCATAGGCCTGTCTCTGCTTCCTGTCATGATCTTCTTCTTCTTCTTCTTCTTCTTAAACCCACCGTTCAACATGAGTCCACCGTGAAGCCTTGGTGCATGTTCGTCTTCCTCCGTCCTGTCGACGTGGTTCTCCAGCTCTGTCATTCGCTTCTCCACTTCTCCCACTCGATCGAGCAGCAAGAAGAACAACGTAGCTGCAACTATCACGAAGCCGAAGTTCACCACAAGAAACGCGGTCAAGTTCCAACTCTCATTGAGCTCGACCATCACCCTCAGTACATGGATGGTCCTCCTGCTCTCACATTCAACCAAAATACTGGAGGCCCACAGCTGGAGGTGTGGTAGCTTCTCCACCTCGTGTGGAGGCCATAAAGAAATCATAAATTGAACCATAAAAAAATCATAAAAACATCATAAAAGAAGCATAAAAAATCATAAAAAACAACAAATCATAAACAAAATCATAAAAACAACATACATTTTCATAAAAAAACTCAATCATGTTATGTTTTTTTTTTTTTTAAATGATTTTTTTTTGTATGAGTTCATTTTTTTTTTTTTTTTAATGATTTCATTTATGATTTTTTTAAATATTTTTTTACGACGCAAAAACTTGGATACCTACACGTCATCGCTCCACAGGGGTTGCCCACGCGGTTGAGACTAGGGTTCAAGTTTCGGGGCTGCTGGCCTGGAGCTGTTTGGGGTTGGTGGTCTTGAGCTGTTTGGGGATGTATTTCTGAGCTGCAAGCTAGAAGTCGTCATGTGAAAGGAATATATAATGGATCTTTACCAAGTAGGCACAAAGAGGAATATGCAGCATTTGAAAACCATCGCGCAAAGGAAGAGGTCGAGACCGGCAACATAACTAACCCAGTGCGGACGCATCCGAGAAGATTTTGCGCGATGTCGCGTGGCAGCTGCGCTAGAGGCGAACTGACACACACTTGCGTGTGGGAGCTACAAGCCAGAATATATGCATGGGTGGGAAAGGGTGTGCCCAAAGCTGACATTCTAAAGCTGATTGATTGGCAGCTCCAAGGATGAAAAGGCGCTCTCCACAGAGTTGATCCTGGAGCTCAAGCAGCTGCAAATAGGCCATCGACCTGATGTAAAAGAATCTCGTTGGGCAAAAAGGATATGGTTGGCTACATGTTCCCTACGGCATACGATGACTTCACTTCGACAGTCAGTATCATGTGTGAACATTTTGCTTTAGAATGGTTCACATGTTGTCCTAGGGGTTTCCCAACTCCAGCTACTTGTTGTGCTGCCAGTGTGAAGAGGCAACAGGTTTGGGCCATTTGCAATATTCAGTTGTATTCATCAACCATCTATTCTTAATGGTTAAGGCTTAAGGGCTCTTGCAACTCAATCTTCTTCCTTGCCAATGTTGCTATTTGTAAACAAGCATGTCAAACTTGCTTTGCCAGCTCAGCTGGAGCATTCTTGGCAGGTGTAGCATGTAGGACCTTCGCTTCAGGTTGCTGATTTTGCCAAGAGCGGTTGAGTACCAAACAAGTCAATTGGGTGATTTCTGAGGAGGCTTATAACGCTGCAGTCCAACGCATCGCCAAAGATCTGAACGGATGTCTTCACGACGTGAACAACATCGGGAATCCAAACTCTTATGAATTTGGCCACTTTTGTCACAGTTGGTATGATTTTTTTATTCTTTTGCAAGATGGGAGTTAAAACTTCGAGTCAGAGATTGCCGACTCAGCTCCGGTTGAGCGCATTCATTCCAAGTAGAATCATTGGTAATGCAATTCAGCTGCTTGTGGGGTGATGCTGCAGTTTTGCTCTCATGTTCAAGTTTCTGATGTTTTATACTTGACAATTTACAAGGCATCGCGGCATTCGAGCTTTTGAAGAGACACTTTGATGGTGGGTTGGGGGAACATTTTCCACAAGCTCGTGCTCAAGTTGAACAAGATTTGATGAAACTGAAGCAAGAGGTGCCAAGCTCAATGAAGTGCCGAGCAGTCCCGAAATGAAAGAACTTGACCAAACAGCGTGGAAGGATTCGTTTTGCAAGTTTTAACCAATGTTCTCCCAGCGCCACTGGTAGCAGTGCAGGCATTTTCACAAGGGCAACTTTTCTTTTGCCTTGCTTTTCGGAAGACAAACTCGCAGGAATCGCCTTCCTGGCGCCTGTTCGAAAACCATCTATGCATGTTTCCAGTATGAATCTTTGCCGGACTCTTTTTCTATGTGCGCAAATGCTACGACACACGTGTCTACCGTAGCCGTAGCATACACTATGTGTGAACGTATCATGTAAGTGTGTGATTGCGGAAGGTTAACATATCCCACCCCAACCCACCCCACGAAGGTGTGAGCGTGCAAGTGAAACATGAGTTGCGAAGTATCATGTGAGTGTGCGTACAGGTATCAAGTAAGTGTGCGTACAACGCCGTTTTCACGGGACGGAAACGAGTCTGCTGGCGCAAACAACCTGTATTGCGATTTTTGCCCACAGGTAGATGTTTTTTCGGGCTAGACTATAGCTCATTGCCAAACAGTATTTTTGGCAGCTGTTGGGAGGGAGGGGGGAGAACTGCTTTGTGTTTTAATTGGTCTCCACCCAGCCAAAAGCTCCTTCTATCTCTGCCTTTTTTGGCTCCGCGCTTTGCTGCTTCCTGCAATCAGTGTTTGGCGGCAAGCAATACCAGTAATGGACATGTTCAGCGCAGGCAGGCCAAGAGGAGCAAAGCTTGTAGCTTGTTGTGTTGTGCAGTGCAGCGCAGTACCAAGCCAGTTTTGCCAGAAAAGCTTCACCTTGAGAGCGATGAAGGGATCACCCTTGCGAAATCTCAGAAAGCAACAGAGCCTGCGAGAAAAGCAGCCAATTTAGATCCGAGCATATGACGTGGTTCAAAAAGGCTTTGGACGCTGTGCATCCGTATTGTACTTGCAATCCGCACTTCTTTCATGAGTATATTGTTCTAGATTGCCGTTGGCGGTGATCTCCAAAAACATATGCACATGTGCTTTATTGTCCTGTCACCCTCGCTAAGAATTCAAAGCTTTGTAATTAGTCAAGCCCCTCCTTTTAGACTTTATGTCACGTCTGGATTTGCGTCATTCACAGGGAGGGTACGAGAAATGAAGCTGACACTGAAGGTCGAATTGCACAACGAGCAGATACTCTCAAACCTCTACTCAGACGAGAAGAAGATTGAGCAGCTGCGACTTGAGTTGGACAAGTTGTCTTCCAAGCATCAATCACCTGAGTGGTGGGAGAGCACGTGGGAGAGCACATTGCAATTTTTTGGTGGTACTTCAAGAAAGAGTGCAGACGCTGCAAGAGCTGCTGACTACGCTCGGAAAAATTACTGTGCACTCCAAGCCAGAGTGAACAAGGAGATCATCGACCACATTGAAGAAGGCTTAAACGGCATGCAAGCAGGACACTTTGATGTGAGTGGAAGCGTTGTGAGCTTCCTCGAGCTTGTGAGCAGTCACTTGAGTTCGCATTTGGATGGATCGACGCAAGGTCAAATTGAGCGCTTTGAAGGTGAAGTGAAGAACATGTTTCAGAACAGGTTGGAGAAGCTGCTTAAGTCCTTCGACGGAGAGGATGCTCGAACAGCCATTGCAGAGCTTGGAGACTGGCCTTGAAAGAGCAGTTAACTGTCCGTAATTAGCTAGGAACGTAGAGTAAGACTTGCGTGACAGTAAGGCATGTTTCACATCCAAGAACAAGGCTTGCATTTCTAGTTCTTCAGGAATCAAGATTTCTCAGTTATGGATTCTGCCAGGAACATGTTTGGATTTCTTGCGCCACCTTTGCTTCTTCGTCTTTGACAGAACCGCGTTCCATGATGCGTTTCACAATTTTGTGGAAGGGCAGCTGAAGAGACTGGAGCAAGCAGTGTTGAGTTTGTCAGTGGGCGAGGCCATTTCTGCATGTCTAGACTTGCAGGCGCTTTGCTGTATCTTATCGACGAGGTTTGTGCTTTACAAGCGTGAAGTGGGAGACTTAAGATTGCGTGGCCCTGAAAGCTGGAAACGTCTCGTCGATCTGCAGGAGAGAATCATTGACGACGATCTTGGCAAGCAAGGAGAACATTTTGCCGTTCTGGAAGTTCTCCCTTCAATGCCGCTTCGGGATGGAGAGATCCACATGCCATGCTCAAAACAGGTCAAACAGGCCTACAAAAGGAAGGCCATGCGGTATCACTCGGACAAGCAGTATCAGTCAGGGACACGCAAGAAGAATTCATCAGATCACAGAGCCCGAGCTCGCATGAGCACTTCATTTGCAGAGCAGATGATGCGGAAGGTAAATGAAGCCAAGGAATTCTTAGAATGCGATGCCAACTGCAAAGGGTTTGGTGTCCGAATCCAGCGCCTTTTCGTAGACAAGTTGGGGGGTCTCAAGCCGCAGCTGCAAAGCCGTGTGCAAAAGCTCCTCAAAGAGCAAAAGTATTTGCAGCTCAAAATGCTCCTTCAAGATATTCGAACGGTTGACCAAAAGCTTGCTGCCAATATGAGTGTTTCGACTCGGGAGCTTGAAACCATCATCAAGGATAATCTCATCGAGGAGGCAAACAAGATCAGTCATGTTGTTGAGGAAGCATGGAATGCCAGACGGCTTCGGGAGCTTCAAGAAGAATTGAGCAAACTGAAGCAAATGAGACACGAGCTTGCAGCCTTTCCACAAATTGTGCCTGAGAACTTGATCAAAGATATTTCAAGGAAGATCAACGATGAGATCAAGGAAGAGGGCAACAGTGCACAGAGCTGCATCTTCTCATGTCACTCTTTGTCGCAGGCCATGGACAGCATCATGCAGTTTGGGAGACATCTCATTGCTTTGGGCCGCATTTGCACTCACCTGCGTGACTCCAAGATGACTGCAGAGCTGGAAGTAACCCACGCTCTGGAGAAATGCTGTCAGAAGAAGTGGGGGGTGAGCTTTCTGAATCAGCTGGGTATGAGACTGGGGCAGGGAAAGATAGGTCATCCCACTACAGATGATGCATTGATTGGAAGGGTCCTGTTGAGTTCTTTTCCGCAATTCGAGGATGTCAGAACAGTCATTTTCAACCGCGAGACCAGTGCTGCGCAGAAGGATGTGGCGGAGACACTAAAGGCTGCTTGATTGGTTTCGATGTGTGTTTTTGAATGGTGTTTTTGTATGTTTATGTTTTGACAGCACGGCAATTATTGATCCAAAGACTCCTGCCAAGGAAATTTTATCTTGGGAGATTGGACATGGTGCCTCACGCAACAAACGGTCTGTTCCCACCGCTAAGCTGATAGAGGGTTGGAAGCAGTACGAACAGAAGTTTGATGAATACAAAGAGAGATGGATTGCTTCAGAGCTGACACGAAAGACTCTGGCGGAGCATATCATTGGGACAGCATCCAAGCTCAGGGCGCAGCGCTGTGGCATGTGGTCCACAGAGATCAAAGAAAAGATTCCTGAGTTGCTGGCAGGCATTTTTGCTCTCTATGCCATCGTGAGATCCGGCACAGCGCACGCTTCGGCGGAGAAACCTTCCAACCAATTCTCGGCTTCTTCTGCTGACGCAGAAGCAGAACAGGTGCTTCCAGAGGAGCCTGAATAGGGCGTTCTGGCATCGATGAGTCCAATAAGATGGTCAGTTGGGCTAGGATCAGTTGAGAAAGCGTGAGTGCTTGTTTATAAGATAGTTAAGTCCAACAAATTGATGCCTTGCCATGCAGTGTTCCTGTTGAACCATGTTTCATGCAAGCCTTCTATTGCACAAGTCTATCAATTTCTGCGCAGGAGTTCCTTATCAAGCCTCATTGCATCCAGGTCTTGACGTTGCTGTGCCTCACAGGATATGGAAACCAACGGGATGAATTGGAGAATCACCTCATGCAAATTCGCACTGGCGAAGGGAAGTCCATTGCCCTGGGCGGCGGTGCAGCACTTCTAGCCTTGTTGGGGTTTCAGGTCAGATGCATTTGCTACTCAAAATACCTCAGCCAGAGGGATGAGAAGGCTTTCAGCACTTTGTTCGAGGAATTGCAGCTGCAGGGCTCCGGCCGTGAACGGATTGTGTACAGCACGATCACCCAATACAGTCACTTGCCAAGATTCATCTCTTTCATACCATGTGTAGGGACGGACCGTTCATGCCTTGGACAAAAGGGTGCTGTTCAAACTGTGCGACAGTGACACGTGAGTGTATTGAGCGGAGGTGTGAGGTGTAAGGTGTTCCAAGTGCACTTTCCTTCCAGTCTTGAGGGCGTCACCCTTGTGAGTTTGGAACTTGCACGAACAGATGAGGTGAAGACCTTATTGGCAGAAAAGGCGATGTAAGGAAGCTCACACTTGACTTGGTTGCTGACGGCAACTTCAGCCTCCAAGCAATGAAGCCAAGCACAGCTGAGGCCGGGTTCTTTCCGCGTGACCGTAGGCGGTCCTTTTCTGCTCCTAAAGAAAGGCTTCGGTATGCGAGTTTCAAACTTGGTACACTTCCAATTTGTGCACCACTTCTAAACACCTTGGTACACTTCTCGTGCACTCCAACCCTCAAAAGCTTGGTACACTTCTAGTTTTGTGCACCGGCACTCCCCGTCCACCGATTCGGTGGATTTCGGTGCCCTGTTCAGCTCAAGCCTCTCTCTCATGTCGTCTTGAACATGGTGTAGCCCCACCAGAGGTCCAAGTGGCATCCTTTCTTGCCGTTCCTCTCGTCCACGAGGATGGTCTTCCTCTTCGAGTTCAGGTGCCACGCCACCGTCATCCTCCACTGTCCCCACTCCTCTTCGAGCAAGATCTTGGACTCGAAGTCATACAACTTCTTTCTCTCCTGGTAGTGGACCCTGATTCCAATTGTTGTTTCACGCTAGCATAGTGTTATCTATGTTTCACTCGTGCTACTTTGGCTCAAGGCAAAACAGGTGCGATTAGTGGTGTTAGTCGGCTAGTCACTTGTAACTACAGGTTATCAGCCGTATCGCCATACGTGCGGTACGTGCTTGGTCCTAGCCCTGGTCTCACCCCACCCTAGATAGTGCACTGTCTAGAGGCCATGGCTGATGATGAAAGTTCCCGTGGTGACCGCTCACGTTCAGGCTACGTTCCCACTTCGCCTGCAATGTCCAGCTCACCTGCTCTGGAGCTCCCTGTTGTTCCGCTGGATTTGCGTGTGCCAAATGTGCCACCGATGCTCAGTGCACAGGGGGACCTGCTGCCTAGTGTTCAAGCTCCGTCGCCTTTCCAGCCTGAGTTCTCTCCTGTGATGAATGTCCAGAACGTTGATGCGAGACAAATTCATCAACAAGCACTCTTCGTCAATGAGGATAGGTCAGCTCAGGTAGCTCAGATTGCGGAATTGCGGCATCAGGCCATTTTGGCCGAGCATGGGCAACAAGTAGCAGATGATGCTAGGCAATATAGAGACTTAGTGGAGAACCAAGCTAGAGTGGCCATCCAGGAGTCTAGGGAACAAATCGAGGCTTTAGCCAATCAACGTTTGAGTGACATGAACCAAGCCCATCAAAACCAACAACTTCATGAACAAAGGGCTTATTTAGATCGGATTTCGCTCGAACGACACGCCGTCGTTGAGAACGAACGCGCCTCTGCCAAGCAAAGAGAGGATGCACTTCGGTCGGAGTTAGCTGAACAGAGTCGAATCATCAAGGAGTTGCGAGAGAGATTCGACAACGCCTCGGGGAACCGAGTGCCTGCGCCGTCAGTGCAGCCACCTGGATCCCAAGGATCCCCAGCTTTACCTCCAGCGAGCCTTCGCACTCAGTTGGAGAAGCCCGGGAACGAAGGCGATGACGAACCTCATCCATCCAATGCTGATGACGAAGGTGATGATAAGTCCAAGAAGGAAAAGAAGAAGAAAGGAAAGGAGAAGAAGAAAGAGAAGAGTCCAAAGAGGGGTCGATCAAGAGAGCGCAGGAAGAAGCGTTCTCCTTCTCCGTCGCCTTCATCACCTAGTTCATCAAGCGGAAGTGATAGCTCCGACGACTCAAGCTCTGAATCATCGCGTCTTGCACGCATCATCCGCAAGGAGCTGAAGAAGCAGCAGAGAAAGTCAAAAGACAGAGATCGTGAGAACAAGGCCAAAGAGGCTGACAAGGTTCTCATTCCCAAGTTTCCCACGCCTGAGAAGTACAGAGATTGGAAGATCAAGGTGAGGGACAACATTGCTGCAGCTTCAGCCAAGCCAGGTGAAGCTCGAACATGGGTTGGGAAAGTATATAAGGATTCCCAAACCATTGACGCCTTGGACGATTCAGAGGGTTTTGCAACCCTTGACGCAAAGCTTCTAGCAAGCTTGACCAATTGCGCTGAGGGGGACCTTGGTCGTCAAATTGCTACCTTCAAGGAGCTGCGTGCTCGTGAAGACAAGAATGTGAAGGGAAGACATTTGCTCCTCCGCTTTCATGAGTACTTTGCAACAAGCATCAAGCATGGTGCAATCTATGGTCTTGAAGACCTTATGTCCGTCAAGATGGTCAATGACGACCTCAAGGGCTTTATCAACAAGTGGGACAGTGTCCTGGCCGGAATGAAGAAAGAACCAGAAAACAGTGTCCTAGAAGCTTACTTCCATCTGGCAGTTAAGCGCTTTAAACCCCTTGAGCATGACCTGGCCTTGTACGATCGCGCAGCTGATGGTAGTAAAGAAAGATCATATGACTTCTTGATCACAGCTGCAAGGGCCTATCTTGAACGGAGAAGGCTTGAAAGATGCGTGACGCCACCAAGCGTTCGCTCGGGGCCAAAGATACAGCCATGCCTGCTCCAGATGACAAGAAGGGCGTATGCTTTGACTTCCAAAAGACCGGAAAATGCAAGCGCGGATCATCATGTCCTTACAAGCACGAAAAGGGCCGCGAGAAAAGCAAAGGAAAGGGAAAGGGCAAGGATTCCAGTCAGTCTCGATCAAGATCATTGACGCCTGGGTCTCGAAAGGAGACTTGCAAGTTCTGGAAAGCAGGACATTGCCATCGAGGAAAAGACTGTGTGTTCCAGCACCCTGAAAAGACTGTCCCTGCGAAGAAAGAGGACAGGAAAAAGAAGAAGAAGAAAGATAAGAAACCTCGCAAGCGAAGCAGCTCACGAGGATCGTCAGGCTCCGACAACTCAACTGGCTCGGAGAGTCAGCGGAGAAAAGGTGGGAAATCTTCTTCTTCCAATGCACCGGCAGCAGTCTGCCTCCTTCGAGCAGTGGTCATGGCCGCAGTGGTCTCTCAGGGATCCTCCGTCCTCATCACTCGCCCGCTGGGAAGCGTGGCCATGCCGGTCCTTTCCGCGTCGAACACATTATGCACCGATTTTGACAACGCAGAAAACATTGACAGTTTTGTTAGACAGCAAGTTCGTTTTGATGATCAACCAAATGTTTTTAGTCATGCTGTTGAGTCTTCTTCCAATTGGCGGTCTGTTCAACCCCGAAGTAAAAGGAAACGGAAGACTTTCACACCAAATCGGCCGGAGTACATTGAAGCTGTTCGAGTTGCCACTGAAGATGCTTCCATTGCAGCCTCACACCTCCAGAACGCTGTTAGGAATGAGCTTTCGTCCATGCCGGCAGAGTGTTCATACCTGTGCAACTCTGACATTGGTTGCATTAAGTGTTTTGGAAGAGGCCATCGACATCGGTGCCAGCCACCGAGATCGCTTGGATAGCGGACACGGGCAGCGCTCATGATCTTGTGTCTAGGCACATGCTCCATTCCGATGAGGTGTCGCAATCATCCAAACCTGTAAGTCTTCTCACAGCCAACGGAGTATTCCAAGCTACTGACCAAGCCAGAGTAAATGTTCCCATTTTGGGTGATGACATCAATCCGTATGTCCTAGATGACAGTCCAGCCGTCGTGTCTGTGGGACAACGTTGCATCGATGCAGGGTGGAGTTTTCATTGGCCTTCTTATAGCAGACCATACTTCAAGAAACCAGACGGAACTAAAGTCAAACTTGAAGTAGATGACTATGTTCCATACCTGCCATCCACAACCGGTGTTGCGATGTCAGCCATAGGTCAACCTTATGGTGCAAATCAGCGGTCGGGGGGACCACGACCCATGATTCCCCTGCCTGCTACGCTGGCTGAAGAAGCGATTGAGGCCTATGATGATGATGAAAATCCACTTGGTGAAGATCCCGCTGAAGAGGAACCTGAACCATTGGATGAGAGGTTGGTAGAAAAGCCGTTGGACCCCAAACGGGACCGGGGGGAGACTGCACTGAAGGAAGAAGCTCAGTCAATTCAGCATCTGTTGACACACACACTCCAAAGAACCCCTTTTGTCAAGCTTGTTCCAGGGCGAAGATGACAAAACGTCCCTCATATAGCAAGGGAGGTTCTACTCCAGTTGATGCGGACCATTTTGGACAGCATTTGACCGCCGATCATCTTGTCATTAGGGACGATGAGGAAATGGACATTGATTGGGCTCGAGTTGCACTGGTCGTAAAGATGTAGCAACCGACTTTAGGTATGTCTACCCGGCCGCCCGTCGTTCGACACGGGAGTGCATCGCCGCCTTCAAGCATTTTGTTCGATCTACTGATGAGGTAGGGGTGTTTTACTCTGACAACTCACCAGAGCTCATCGCCACTGCAGAGAGACTAGGATGGAGGCATCAAACTAGCTTTGCTTATGTTTCTAAAACAAACGCAATGGCAGAAAGATCCATCAGGTCTGTCATCGAAGGCACAAGAGTGAACTTGGAACAGGCTGGCCTTCACCATCAGTATTGGGCACATGCTGCGAGACATGCATGCATGGCAAACAATATCGTCGACGCCCGGGAGGGTAGTTCGCCTTGGTTTCAACGGTTCGGTGAGAAGTTCAAAGGACCGTTGGTTCCCTTTGGGTTGAGAATCGACTACTGGATCGGTCCCAAAAACAAGGCCAAATCCTCTCTCATGTTTGAACCGACATCAAACCCTGGAATCTTTTTGGGGTACGCCGTTCAGTCCAATTTTGTGTGGAGAAAGGAGTTCATGGTTCTCCCATTGAAGGATGTCATGGAATCAGACTTCAGTGCCGAGATCCAACCGCTGAGAGTTCATCAGATTGCTGTTCCAGACATCGGTTTGCGCTTTCCATGCAAAGGTAGGTACAACATGATTAGAGAAGGGTTGTACCCAGGCAGTACCATTTCAAGCAATCCACCGTCGATCGATGATGTCAGAGCTGCAAGTGTTGAGGATCTCGTTGATCAGGAGGTTTTGAAACATGCCGTTGAACATGAGTATGAACCAGATGAACCACCTGAGCTTCCAGATGCTCTTGTTGATGAAGCGCCTGCAGTTGCTCGCGGGTCGGGAGACCTTGCCGACGAACCGGGGGGTGAAGAGGTTGAAATGATCGAGGTTCTGGATTCTGTCACGGGTGAAACGAGCTTGATCCCCAAAG